ATATTTATACTAACTTTTTCTCATAAGATATTTAAATCATACAATTTTTTCTTTTTGTTTTCAGCACCAGCTACTATGCGTTAATCATGTACAACAGATATAGTCGAATAGACTATTCCGCATTTTGCTGAGGAAGTCATCCAGATAAACTCTAACAGTTCTATCCTACATAGAAAAGGAACATGTTTTCCCGTCAAGCATTAACTAGAGAAACGCTAAAAAGGTGAAGCCGCTCATCACAAGCAAGGTGGAGATAGTGCCATCATTTATTGAATCTAAATCTTCACACCAACAAAAAAGTTTATAAAAGGTTAGTCAATTAATCATCCTTTAATTTGTTCCAATGCAAAGGGTAGTCCATCAGATTTATGTATCGTACATGCAAACATACATCTACACTTGAAAGACAAGCACTACAATTTAGTTACGTTTGGTCGGAATAAGTTTTGTTTCCTCATTTTTTCAAATTTTATATGTTATTGATTTTTCCAATCTATCTCAAATGATGTCTTCTTATTTCACACGCTAATTAGACGAGAATGTAGATTAATTAATAACTCCCCCATTCCCTTTTGTTTGTTGGTGCATTGGTAAGCAACATCCCATTCTATGTCATATTAGTTTCCTATATGTTTCTCCAGTAAATTCAATGGAAAAATCACTCTTACGATTTTCATTTTCTATCATTTCGGTGAAAATATGATTATTTTTTTTATCACAACAACCATTCTTCTGACTAACCTTAATTCTACAAAATCAAATCAAGAAAATATAGGTTTTCCCCATTTTGATTCGATTTTCAATTTACTGATTATGAATTTCTTATTTGTGTAGAGACTGTAACACTAAATTCCTTATAGGGTGAGTTCACAATTTTTCGATCTACATGAGTTACATTCTGCTACCACAACAACTATTCTTCTGTTTTTCTCTTCAACACCCATCCTTTTATCTAACTCTGTTGAAGCTTAATGGAGATAAAAACAAGCAACAAACTACCTTAAGTTGATGGTTAACCTTAAAATGCACATGTCTCATTTTCTGAAAATTGGCATGGACTAACACGAATCAGTAGGCAAGTTGCTAAATTAGTTTTTAGCATTGATGTTATCATAAACAAAGTCGCGTAAGATCATATGAATGAATTGTTGGTGTTCTGTGGTAATAGGAAATTCTACTTTAAAGTTTACAGACTAGCTTTCTGTTACATATGAATAACAAGGCTCAATCGGACATAGAAGACGGTCTCCATGTTCTAAGGTATGAAACTTACATTTAATGTCTCTCATATTTCTCGATTTTGGTGTCTCTGCATTATGAGATAATATAATGTATCACATGAAAATTGACGAGGGTCATAGATGTCCAGCATGTATTGTTTGCATCAGATGTTTTATGTTAAGCTTTAGTGGTGGAGTAGCAGTTCTATTTTGAATTTATTGCCTTTAAGCCTTCATGCTCTGGAATTCTGTAGATCAGGTGAACCTCAATAGGGATCCTCTCTTTTCCCGTGACACATTTCTTTTTTTGAGGCGGTCTCTTTCTTTCAATCTGACCTTATATCTACTGATTGTTGAATAAAAAAAAAACAGAAAAATATCTATTGATTGTGTTCGCCATGTCCAGTAGTTTAACATTTTTTAGAGCTTCACTTTTATGCACTCTAAGCTAACCAAATATTATGTGTTAATTACTGCCATCGTCTTATTGGTTTAGTGGGACCATTCTTCGTTTTGCTTGTGTGATTATCCTAATTTCTCACATTTGTTTACTTTTTCACCATATTTTTGTTGCTACTTTTATTTTGGTCTCATGTTTTTCATATGCATTAGTTAAGATCTGGTGATTTTTACGGATATGATATTCTAGCTTTTTGGGATGAGGTTCATTATTTTGACTGTAGTTGATCTACATTTTCTGTAAGTAGAATTCAAATATATTACTAAGTTGAGTTGTAAATTGGCGTTATGGAACTACTGAATATATTCCTGCGGAAATATGGCTGCTCTTCAATATATATTTCAGGAATATACTAAGATATATGAGATACAAATTTATTACAAATACCTAAAACTCTACGCAAGAACACTAGCCAAATATCAATATTCATGCTTTCAGTAATAGAAATCTCTATATCTAGACAACAAGACACACTTCTCTATTACGACTACAGTTGTTTGGCTCTCCAATTAGTTTCAACAAACCTGCACATTAACTTAAGATGCTATCTTCTAATCGCTTAAATATCTATCAAATTAGTAGCTCTTGCCGCTTGATTCCCCAAAAAAAAACCATTGTTGATGCACCACTTCGACAATGTGATGGGAGTGCAGCAAACGAAATCATTATCAAAGCTGGATAGTGTATAGGCTAGGCAAGTTCTTAAGTAATTGAGTCTATTCTCCAAATTCGGGTCCCTTTGGAGGATGTGGAGTAGGCGGCGGAAGATGTAGCAACATTATATACGGAAGAGCCTATAGGTGAAAACAATATATTTTGCAAGCTTAGTTTCTTTAATCATCTCACCAATACATTTGCCTTATCATGTGACCAAGGAAAATATAGCAATATTTCCTTGTAAGATAATGCTGCCATAACATGATTACACATAATAAGAGTCTCACTATAATAGCATCATGTAACTATATACTTATTAGATTTTGTGTTATGGTTATGATTATTTACATTTATCTTATGTTTACATATCTAACCCCATCAGGTGTTTGAATAAGTCCATCTTTTAAAAAGTTAAAATTTATTTTGCATTGTTGAAACTTTAGCAGAAATTTTTTAATTTTATATTACTTTTGAGTTCTTCCACATTGGTTCCCTTAAGTTAAATTTAGTTATTTTTACAATTAAAAAATTCATATTGTGCTTGCTATCACTAAATAGATTGAGCATCCGAGAAACAAAAAAGAAGAAATGAAGAAGAATATGGAAAACTGATCTTGGCTAAAGGGTACTAACAGGACAAGCTTTACAAAGAGTTTAATGGTAAGTTGTTTCTAGCATGCACAAGGAATCGTCTATATGGTTTTATTTTATACTCTCTATAAATATGAAGGTGTTATGTAGTGGCTAAAGAATGATTTACTTTTGATGATTTATTGCCGCATCTCTTTATAATATATTAGTTGCCTCTATATTTAATGAAAACTCATTAGATGTTAAAGTATTTGTTAGAACATAAAACGAGTGAACATTAACTCCTACAGTAGTGTTATTTTTCGAGTCTTCTAGGCTATTTCAT